ATTGAAAAAGAAATGCATGTTGGATATATATATATATATATGTATATATATCACCGACGCAATTCTGAGTTTACGATGATCAATGTTGAACTCCGTATCCTTGTCATTTTGAACCCGAACCAGAAGACAAGAAAACTCCTGGATCAAGCATTAGGGAAAGCTAGCCTTCGTGGTGAACTTTTTAATGGAACTAAAATGTATTTGCGTAACACGGAGAGAAAAAACACGAAATCCTCCCATGGTTAGCCCGATGCAGAGAAAAAACATGAAATCCTCCCATGGTTAGCCCGATGCAAGGGGATACTAACCCATGATCCATATACCAATGTGGGTATTCTACGTCAGCACTGTGGTCGGGCGCAAGCCGTGCACAGAATTCGTATTAACCAGCCACCGCAGGGATTTGAATATGGGTTAACTCAGTGGGAGGCAAACGCTTTAATCCCTTTGTAAAGTAAAGCTATAGTGTGCCATCATCATAATTCGAGACCTCATGAGAATTTGGTGCCCAGCCAAAATCTTTTACGGTCTTAATAGGATGTAAAAACACGTCCACCATATTCTCCAGATTTATAACCTTTGGAATATTTCTTTTTCTGGTTTCTAATAAATATTTTACTTAGCATAAACTTCACTTCAAATTAGGATTTGATACACGATCTAGATTACTATCTTTTTAATGAGCAAAGATCAAAATTTTTATTTGCGTGAGAGATCATGCTACTGCAGATAAGGTGGCTCGATATATTTGACCGGAATGGTTCAATGAAATATTTATGCATCATAAGGAAATATCGTCCTTTATTTTCAGAAAAAAATGCTTAAGAAATAAATTGTAAAAGAAGTAGACCCATATCAGGAAATAGAATGTCATTTTTTTTTTTTACATATTTTTGAAGTTAACCCTTAGACACTGAAGCTTTTTATACATATTTTTCATACTTCTTTCATTATTTTGTATTAATTTAAATCAAAATTAGTGAAGAATACCATATTGAGCATTTTAATAATTTTTGATTATGAAATACAGCGTGAGACCAAGGTGCCTTTTCTGCGCTAAAGGAAAAATCTTCCAAACACTGCTCACTTCCAAACAATATTTTTTTCAAATTTGAATTTATTTGCAGTTATTTAGATCTAAGAGAAACAGTTATTCGTCATTAAAATTTCTTGAATTTACAAAATTAATTATTGATAATTTTTTTGAAAATGAATAAATAAAAAAATTTCAAACTATTTTTTTTTGGATTTTATATTTTGCTACAAATATAATTCCGATAGTCTACCAAAATTTTTTAGTAACTGTTAGACTGTTTTTACAATTAAAAAATACCAAAATACATTTTAATTCGTAATTAGAGGTTCAGAATAAACATAAATATATAGAGACCCCGAGGTCCTCTCCGTGTAAAGGTTAAGTCGAAAGTTACGTTTAGTTAGTCCTATATACGCAAGACACAATGAAAAAATTTAATATCCCTATAAATTTTTTCCAAAAATAAATTTTTTTGTACTCAAATGGAAGCTAAACTGTAAAGCGAGAAATATGCATTGTAATCATCAGTGTATCGTTTGCTTTTTCTTATAATAATCTTCAATCGTTTTAATTTTCTCATAAATTTTATTTTTCTCTGAATTTCTACTATTTTTCGTAAGTGTTCTGTATTTGATGTTTCATGTTATTATATTGTTTGTTCCGTCTTCAAAACTGGCAGATGTTTTATGAGCTTCATTTTCGATGTTTGATTCCACTTGCTCACTTTACATTGATGCTTAAAATTTCTAAATACTTAAATTGGGAACTACATTCAGAGAAATCTTTTGCGTTTCAGTTATCTATTCTGTTATGATTTTTTTTTATAGCGTTTAAATACATTTGGTGAGTAACATACCAGAATCAGTACGATTTTAATCGTTTTTTCTACCTTAGATTATGATTGTTACATTTTAAATGATGAATTTCTGCTCAAAAACTGATTACTGTTATTTTTAATATTTTTATGAAAATGAATCAAATTTATTGAAAAATTTGCCCTCATATTTAATAAAAAGTGTAGTACATATTCCAACTATCATTTCTAGATAACATGTTTATAAAGACAAAATACATAATTTATGCTAGAATTTCTCCAAACATATATAATTTTTTTTGAAAAATAACGGTAGTAGCTAAAATGAAAACTATCCGTTATACGTGATTACGAGATGTGTTCCACAACGGAGAGTATTGTTATCTCAGCTGGGATTGGCAAGTATAGGCAATAGTATAGGTTTTTTCTCGGGGACCACATTAATGAAGCGAAATCAACGTAGGGGATCTCCCTGGTCAAGCGATATCGCTCGTCAAAAGCTGTGCAAAGCATGGAGGTAGCGGGTTCGAATCCCGCCGTTACCCTGAATGTATCTTCGTGCTGTCATTCTCTTCATTGTGCCATCTGTCCTTCTATTTGACAAAAGTTTATAGCCCACAAGCCTGCAAATGTGTGTCAATCCAGTAAACCAATAAAACAGCGAAGGGACGCGCCTTTTGTAATGTCTGCATTCATTACCATAAAAATCAATAATTATAGATAAAATTAAATATTTTTTCCCCAATGCCCACCTGGAGAGTGACCTTTCATCATACAGGCATCTGATAGGCAGATTTGTTGGCCACTCTTTCAGGGGCACCATATTAGGTGGACCAATGTTGCTCCCTCAGTAAGGACAGATAGTACAGAGAATGAAAGAACATCCATGCCTTGATTCAAACCCAGAACCTTTCTAAAGCAAGGTCAGTTCCCTGACCCCGACACTGGCCGGCCGGCATAAAATTAAATATAATAAATATAAAATTTAGTAATAGTATAATTTAATCGCAAATAAGAAAGTAAAATCAATTTTAAAATTATTTTTCTATTTTGTTTTGTTTTGAAAATAAGATTGAGATTCTCTCAACTGCATGTTTCTATGTTTATCTTATTAATTTATCTGTTCTTGTTGATGTTTGTTCTTTATTCTCGTCTCACCTCATATTAATTTGTGACCTATATTGTACTCTTTCTTACAAGGATTCTAAAAATACATATTAAGGGTTGACAATAATGAACATTCCGAAAAAAATCTGTTGGCGAAACAAAGAGGTCGTTCGATTATTCAAAAAATTCATGCGAAGGTATGAGATGAATAACCCTTAAGTAAGAGATTAAATTTCAATTACCAGAAAAAATTACTTTATGAATTGAAAAAAATATTTAAATTGAAAAAGAAATGCATGTTGGAAAAAGACATCTTACGAAAGCATTGAGGAGATCGCTATTTGGATATTTGCGCTGACAAAAGTAAAAAGTCCAAAAGCCTCTAAAAATATGTTAACATAGTAATTAAGTGAGCTTTCACACAATATGTCTCAATCGCTTGTTAAGAAAAAAAGGGGGGGATATGCATTTTAAATTACTCTCCTTATTGAGGTCATACGATTTCTTATTTCCCTTAGTTGAAAAACTTTTCATAAGAATTATTTCTAAAAAAATGCCAGCGTTTGAGTTTTTGAATCTATTTTTAACAGGAAGAAGTAGTAGTTGCATTTTATTTACATCGTACTAGAGCCCCACAATGGGCTATCAGCAACAGTCTGAGAAACATCCCAGATGATGATTCGATGACTCGATCACAATTTTGATCTTCTGCAGATTGGATGGCTCCTCTGCTTTGGTAGACTGATAACCTGTGCTGAAAGTCGAGTATTTCACGGTAGAACAATTTAACGAGGTCCGATACTCCCCACCTTTAGTCCATTCGCAGACTGACCAAAGTTGTCACCCACAAGCTCACTGACAGCAGTCAGTGAGCAGGTGGGATATATATATATAATACATACCAGAATCAGTACGATTTA